ACGGTTTTTCGGTTTCTTGGGTTCAATATATACTCATAGGTTCTAACCCTAAAAGTTCTTTCTTGATGACTCTCCCAACATTATAAACATTTTTTTTTCTTGTTGCAAATAAACTTTTAAGCAATTGTTGTTATCGATTTTCTAAGCCAATTAATTTTCCTCATTCATCCATTTCTAAAAGCTCAAGGAAACCACAAACCATATGTAGACCACCGTTGTTGTATTTATCTTGAAGCTATCATACCTATCTCTTGTTGATTTTCTTAAGCCATTAAAATTTTGTATTTATTATTAGTTGATTTTTTAGGCCTAAGTATCAGCCCTATATATCAATTTTTAAAAGATATATCATAGCTCATTAATTGATATATAGTAGTTTCTCAATGTTTTTCCTTAAGCCTCAAAAGTCAAACCAACCGCAGATAAATATTATTGGCCTATTTGTATTAGCTGCTTCATTTAATTTTACGAAACAACCGATCATTCATCGGTCGGTTTCTCGGTTTGAATGGGTCTGTTTCTGGACAAAAACTGAAACCGACTTTTCGGTTTTTAAAAATTTTAAACCCTAACCATCGGTTTTACTTCAGTTTCGGTTTTATCGGTTTCTCGTTTTTTTGGTTCGGGTTTGCTCACCCCTACACAATTCCTCTTATAAAAAGATAAAGGACAATGTAATAGCAACCAACTTCTCACGTTTTTCTTACTATACTAGCAAGTAACAACTAGTTGTAGAAAATAATTAACTAGGAATTCATTGGATTAGGAAATCGATCACCAAACATGAAATGTGAAAATCTAAAATAGTTTTTCAATTATACATCAACCTATTTCCCCTAATGGCTAATCACCTTTCTAAATTTCTGATCCATAACCCTATATTTATTAATTAGTTTCCTCAATAAGTAGTTAATTAAGAAACATAAGTTGTTCTAAAACAAACACCCGTTTAATTTTATGGTCAACCAAGTTTATAATAACTAATAAGGGTTAAATGTTTTTTATACATTGTTTTACAAGTTTTAAATTAATGCAACAAATTGTTTCTAGACAAAATATACAACAATGTCTCACTATTGGAACGACCAAAAAAATTGAAACATTATAACATGGAACTGTTACAAGATACCGATTAAATGCTCATTTATATAATAATGTCATAACTATCAATTAAATATCAATTTATTCAATGTTTTTTTTTTTTCAATTTATACAATTTTTTTTTTACCAATTTATTCATCTGACACGAATAATGCCCACTATATTTCAGTTAATGAAACATTACTCATTATTGCATATTTCGTTTAAAATATGTTGCAAAGATTTAATGCTTATAACTTTATAAGTAGTTATACCTTATTATAGCTGTTAAATAAACCAATTTAGTTTTAAAAATCTTAAAAAATATTAGAGTACTTGTACAACGTCCATATTTGCAGTTAACTTTAACTTCAAAAATTAATTATTGACCAAAATATTTGAGTTTTGCAATCTAATAATTGTTGAGTTGTTTTTTGGGCCTGGAATAATATTATTTAAAACTCAAATAAAAAAACAATTTACGATTTTTTTTTTTCGTGAAAAGGGTATTGATTTAGTGGATGAATTCAAATTGAATTTCGATTATCAACTTATTAATCAGCCTAATGTTGTAATTAGCTTTGCTTTGGGTCATCACTTCTCTTGTTTATGTCGTGTATTTCCCTATCTCTCTTCATGAATCATGAGTCATGACCAACATCATTAGAGCAGTGACTAATCCATTACTAGTTCTGATGGCTTAGGCCTACGCGATTTGGGTTGCCTACTCACAGAATTTGGGCCTATTTTGTAACATAAAATATATTTGACATATAATGTGGGCTAAAATTCACAGAATACTAGTAGAGGATAGAAGTGGGCAAAATCGGACATCTGAAAGGGTATAATTGGTCCCGAGCCTTGACTAGGGTGCCTCAACCAATCCTAGCAAAATTGGCCCCGACTTACCGATCCTAATTAAAAATTTTTACTTAACCGATATGAAACCGGTAACGTGTTAGCGTGTACGGAACTGATTATTATTACACAAAATTGCAAAAACGGTCCTTGTGTTATGTATTTTTTGATGGTTTTAGTTCAACCCATGATTTTTTTAGATGTATTTTTTGAGGGTTTTAATTCAACCCATGACTTTTTTAGATTGATAGTCATTTTGATCTAGTTTTGTTGTAGTTTTGATTATTCTAAATAGTGAAATTATTGTAATAGTCTTAAGTATTTATTTTCCATTTTTCTTTCATTTCTTTTTAAATTTAATACTAATTTATTTATTTTAATAATTAAAACATAAAACGGTCTCTCTCTTCCATGGAGGGGCTCATGATTTATTTTAAATAAATAGGGTACTTAATATGGGTTTGGAAATTAAGTGAGGTGATGAATGTAGTTAAATCAAATGAAAGCTTTGAAAACACTACAAGGATATTACACTATGCAGACGATAATTTTGAGCTCTGTTCAGACGACTTGTCGTCGCTAAAGCCTATACCGACGACATGCGGTCTGTAAAAAGTCGTCGGTAAAAGTCGAAAACGTCGTCGGTACAGGTGTCGTTGGTATAGCATAGTCAGTCCAGACGACATGTTGTCTGCAAAGGGTCGTCGGGATTGATTTTCGAGGAAATTAGAAAAAGTTTTATTCGGACCCTATAGAGACGACTTGTCGTCGGTAAAAATATGATTTTATAGAGACGACTTGTCGTTTGGATAAGTGTGAGCTATAGAGATGACTTGTTGTTTGGATAAGTGAAAACCATTTTTACAGTTGGAAAGTTATACCGACGACATGTCGTCTCTATAGCCTTTTATTATTTTTTTTAATATCTTCCACTGATTTTTTTTATATATACCATTTAAAACAAATCCAAAATGGATATTTGCAGAATAATATAAACATAAGATAACATACCATTAAAATCCTAAAACACGTAATAAACATAATATACCATTCAAACTCTACTACATAACAAAATAACAAAAAAAAAAAAAAAAGTTTTTAACAAACACTGTTGTCATTATCATTCTAGTTCTCCTCCTCTCATCATCATCATCATCATCACCACCATCATCAACATCATCAAAAAAAAAAAAAACAAAAAAAAACAATTTTTTAACAAACATTGTTGTCATTATCATTCTAGTTCTTTTCCTCCTCCTCCTCACCACCATCATCAACATCATCATCATCATCATCATCATCATCCGTGAGTTCATTTGATGTTTCGGGGTTATTTTGTGGAACCATATTAGGATTAAACTGGAATTGTGACATTGGTTGTGGTTAGAAGTTTGGAATGAAAGACGCGAAGGTGTTATTAAACATTTGGTTCATTTGTAGCATTTGTTGTTGCATGATTTGAATTTGTTGGGATAATACAGCAACTTGAGGATTATCTGAAGATTGGGATGTGGAAGCTTTGGAACGGTATGTTCATTTGGAAATAAATTATTGTTGATGTTTGGTTTCCTTCCAATTCCGCGAATATGCCCACGTCTCTCATCGAGGATCATCTTCTTCCTGGATTCGGTTTCACGCAAGAAAGTCGCGACCCATAATCTGGGTCTCTTGTGTCGACTGATTAAGATACGAGAACCACAAAATAAATATAAGGAAACAATGGTGGTGGTGGTCGAATACTCACAGTGGCAGGATGTGGTAGCTAGTCGAAGTCCTCACGGTGGCAATAACAAAAAAAATGGTAGCGGGTGGTGATAGGTGACACACAGTGGCAGCTCCGCTGCTCCTCTTTTGCGTTTCGGTCGGCGATATTGACGAGATAGGGATGAGGAAGGTGGCAAATGGTCGGAGGAAAAGATTTCGATAGTAGTAGCAGCGGTGGGTGGTGGTGGTTTGCGTCGGTAGTGGGTGGCAGCCCCACTGCTGAGTTTTTCTTGCTTCGATCGTTTTCTCCCGTATTCGCTCTATGTTGTTGGCGGTAGTGTCGTCGAGGGGGTTGTAGCGAGTTGCAAATGACGAGAGGAAGGTTGTGGAGGGTGATGAAGTGATGAAATAGGTTTTGTCGTCAGGGGTGGGGTCGCAAGCAGTAGTTGCAAGGAGAAGGAAAGGAATGCGGTGTGGGGCAGTGGAAGGTGGTGGAGTATGACCGGAGCAAAGGCGGTGGAACAGCCACTGTGATCGTCGATGAATAAAAATGCATCTAACATTGTTCGATTAGTTGTTTGAAAATGATCTCAAAACAGTAGCATGGTGCAGTGAGTTATTATCATACATCTTATGTGAATTTTCAATATGAGTTTTTTTTTTTTTTTTTGGTAAGCACGAAAAGGATGGGGCCTTCATAAGTTAGTCCCTCTTTTAAAAACACATTATATGCCGATATAATTATGCTACACCTACACGTCCCTTAATCAGTGCTAACAAAACTTCATCATGATTCATAGGGTTTGTTTATATGTGTATTTTGAAATTGATAAACGATTATTACATCTTGAAGTAACCATAACCAATTTTTTTATGTTCGGATAAGCATATTATTTTTATGACTTTATATTTTTAAATAATCACCCTGATATAAACTACAACGATTATTGCAACTTGAAGTAACCATAATCAATTCTTTTTTCACATTGATCTCTGTTTTGGTCATTTTAAATATTGATAACTCAAATAATCAAAATTTACTAAAACGTTTGTGCAAACTACAAAATGATCATTCCGATAGTGGATGGTTAAGACAGATACTTAGCGATGTATTCCGATAGTGGATTTTATCAATTAGTAAAAGTGTCAGTACCCTGTACCCAAAAGAAAGGTGTTACAAACTTACAACTTGCATGACTTGAAGATGATATATTTTTAAAAGAATTAACTTTACAATCGAAAAGAAAGAAAAAAGATGTGCACCTTGTTGGCTTTTTGTTTTCTATTTCAATGTAAATGTTTTAATTGCTTTATTTCAAGACTATTTGTATTTAACTATTTATAATACATCCAAAAAATATCTTTCTACATCAATAACCATATTTTATCATACCTTATTAGTTACTATTATTATATTGATTATCATTATCATATTCATATCCAAACGTAATCACTTTTGTCTATTTTTTCATGTGCAATCTTGTCTTGGTATAAAGCAAAGCAAAAGGAGTGGCTTATTTGCATTCATCGAAGCTTTGAAAACCCCGCCTTCTTCTTCCTCCGCCTCATCTCTATATCTCAACTTGCATCGTCTTTCCTATTTTCCTATTTTTCACTTTATTCAGTGGTGGGTGCACCCACTAATCCACCATAAAATCCATCCGTTTCGCAGCTAAAATCACCGTAGAAAGAGGCAGAAATGGCGAGCAGCAGCATCTCCCTGGAAGATGTACCTTCGTTGGACATGATGAGTGAACTCCTTCGCCGACTCAAGTGCTCATCCAAACCCGATAAGCGCCTCATCCTCATTGGTAATACAATTAAACCCTTTTTCTGTTGAGATTCCTTTGAAATTACGCTTGATCGTTCCATTTTGAGGACTTGGGGTTTTGATTATTGAGATCTGTGAATGATTCCATGAATTAGGGTAAACTTTGAGGCTTTAATCCCAATCACAAACTTCGTTAGTCTCTATTTAGCATTATCAAATATGGTGTATTAATTCCGTTGCTGTTTTTTGTTGGTGGATTTTTGCCTGCTCAAATCCTGAATGTTTTTAGGCCTACAAATTTTGGATAATCCGTCCAATCCTTAAATGCTTGACTTTTGATTTCATGGCTTCAAAATTTATGTCAATTGTTAGCTTGATCCTTTCTTTAGATTCCATAACAAGTATTACAAATAAGCGATGCTAAAGTTACAACGTAAGCAGAATTTACTAGGGTATGATCTCAAAATGGGGATCTAATTGATATCTGTAAATGTTCTTATGAATTGGGTTATCCCAGAGCTGTATAGTTGGAACTAAATGTGAATCTGTAACCCTTATGGATCCTTTTTTAATACATGGATTGGTTTTGATTTAGTTGGAGGTTTGTAATGTTCTTGAGACTGATGGGTATTGCCTTCAAGTGTTTGATTAAATGTTTACAAGCAAATGAATGAAATGTAGGTCCACCCGGGTCTGGAAAAGGTACCCAATCCCCCATCATCAAGGATGAATTCTGCCTATGCCACCTGGCAACAGGTGATATGTTGAGAGCAGCTGTTGCAGCTAAAACCCCACTCGGGATCAAAGCCAAGGAAACCATGGAGAAGGTAGGCTAAGAGACATGGACACCATGGTTATGTACTTAATGTCACTTCTATTTCGGATTATTTGTTTGACTCCTTTCTTCTGCAAATTTCAAAGGGAGAACTTGTTTCTGATGACTTGGTGGTTGGGATCATTGATGAAGCAATGAAGAAACCATCATGCCAAAAAGGATTCATTCTTGATGGGTTTCCTAGGACAGTTGCACAAGCTGAAAAGGTTTCTTGATCCATTTTGCTTTTTATAAGTCAATACAATTATGTAAATAAGGTTGTTTCTTCTTCTTCTTCTTCCGCACCAAGTCCTATATGGGTAATGATATATGTATCTGCATAAAGTTTGTTTCTAGTTCTACCCTTGATTTGTTTTTTTACAGCTTGATGAAATGCTTCAAAAGCAAGGAAGCAAGATTGATAAAGTGCTTGATTTTGCAATTGATGACTCCATCTTGGAGGAGAGAATCACTGGGCGTTGGATCCATGCTTCAAGTGGTAGGACATACCACACAAAGTTTGCACCTCCCAAGACTCCTGGTGTTGATGATGTAAGGGCATTTTAGACATTTGATAAAATATCCTCCACCATATGAATCAAATTGTCTCTTCTTCTTCTTCTTCTTCTTCTTCTTCTTATAGGTTACAGGGGAGCCTTTAATGCAAAGGAAAGATGATACTGCACAAGTTCTGAAATCGAGGCTGGAGGCTTTTCACAAACAAACAGAGCCTGTAAGTGTTGGGTTCCACCCCATCCACATTTTATTTATTTTTATTTATTAGAAAAAGAGAAGATTTAAAATTTGGGTTTTGTGTGTGAACTACAGGTTATAGAGTATTACAACAAGAAGGGTGTGGTTGCAAAGCTTCCTGCAGAGAAGCCCCCGAAGGAGGTGACTGTTGAGGTTCAGAAGGTTTTGTCGTCTTAATGGATTAAGACGCTTGCTTTTTGATTATTGTGATGTTATCTAACCTGATACGATATTGGATCGGCTTAAACATTGAACTCTTTATGCTACAATTTTCAATTTTCCAAGCATGATATATTGATGGTGGTTGAGTTGCTGAGATATGTAAAAGTAAAACCTTACCAGAAATGAATAAAGTTGTAATAAAATTGCCAATTTCTTTTCTAGTTGTCGTTTGTTATTTATGTTTTTGATACTAATATGGAAAACCACAAATACAAAATACACGACTCATAGATGCCACGATTTCACATTAGCAAATACATACATAATACATGTATTATCATCCACTAATTTTTTTTATGAATATACAATTTTACCCTTTCATTTATTTTACCAAACTTTACACTTTACCTTTAACTATATAAACATATTTATTTCTCTCATATATAGTTTTTTTTTTTTTTTTTTTTTTTTTTTTTTTTTTTTTGCAAAATTTAAATTTTACAATTTTATCGAATTTTGCAAAAATTCCTTTTATCCCTGTCACTAAAAAAATATACTTTTTGCCCTAGATTTTTTTTGTCACGCATAAACTTAAAAAATATAAAAACAACTGTATATATTTCACTAGATAATAACCTTTAAAATATAAAACTTAGTTATATAACCAAATTTTTACTAAAAAAATATGATCAAACAACAATCCAACTAGAAATCTAAATAGCCATTCAAATCAAAAATATAAAAAAACTAACCGTTAAAAAAATGACGATTATTAAGGCTCAAAAAGGACCATCTAAATCAAACTTATCCAATGGATATATGTTTAAATCTTTTAAGTTGTTTTTGCCATCCACTTTCCTGTGTCTCTAAAATGATTCCACCAACTCAAATATTGATGATTCCACTTTGTTGCATTGAAGTAATTGAGTCCATTAAGCTATCTGTTAGATAACAACATAGAAATTCAGAAATCAAGTAAGCCAATTATTAAAATAAAATGACAAAGCAAGAAAAAAAAATCAATAACTCAAGTGTGTTATCGTGAGTGGTATGATCAATGAAAAAAAAAGAACAATTAACAGTTGTTTTCTGTGAGAAAACAAGAACCATTAAAACTTGCTCTCTATGTGTCATTATATGGAACTTCCAATGACTCCCAAAATAAAATCAATAACTCAAGTGTGTTATCGTGAGTGATATACAACGATTAAAAATTGTTTTGTTATATTTACAATTGAAAATTACATAAATCAGACAACAAACACAATTACAATCGCAAACAACTTGAGGGAATTTTTCAATTTACAAACCAGATGAAGCAAGTCACGATGGTGTAGGAAATACTTTCGCAATAGCAACGGACGTTAGAGCAAGCCGACGGTGCTGGATTAGGCGGCGACGCCGGAGGATGAACGAGCCAGCGGTGGAGCAGTCGAAGGCGGCGATGGATGAAGTCGGGGATGGAAGAAACGATTAGGCGTGGGAATCGAAGAGACAGATACGCTGTTTGACTTTGAGGAAGTTTTTACAATATTAGTGGGAGGGGGTAAAATCTAAAATGAAAAAAAAGGGTAAAATTGTTTATTTGTAAAAAGTTGTATGTTTCTATTTTTAAATATATTTTTTTGGTCAAACCAACAAAAAAAACAGGCCTTATTTTACTTAACAACCATTTCGTATGCGTAACCCTTGCAACGTCATTTGGCTTAGTTCAGGCTAACGTGTGTCATGCTTGAAAATGGGAAAGTTATTTTAGAAAACATATGGTAGCATTTAATATATTTTTTTAGACAAAACTTAAAAAATGATCGGTTTTCGAAAGGGTCCATTTAATTAGACCCTTTATTAGTCTTAAAGGACCTTTCTAATTATTACCTTACTTTTTTTTTTTCTTAAATAAACAAATCATTATATTAATCATTACCTTTTAATAATCATCATTACATAATAATTTTGTGTCTTTTATGTATAATTATTAAGTTAAAGTATTTTAATAATCTTTTTTAAAACTTGCAAAATAAAATATGTTAAATATAATTTTTCTTTTTATATATTTTTTTAAACTTGCAAAATAAAATAGATAAATATAATTTTTTATATTTTTTTTTAAACTTGCAAAATAAAATAGGTAAAATATAATTTTTTATATATTTTTTAGGTTATTAAACTTGCAAAATAAAATAGGCTAAATATAATTTTTTTTATATATTTTTTAGGTTATTTGTATGTAATTTATTAAAATTGTTTTATTTAAAAATATTATAACAAAAGACTACAAATATGACATACTAATAATAAAACAAAATTTTGAAAGCAATACATATCAAAAGAGTTCAATTACATTCATACTTAATCCGTGATATGTATCCAAGGTATTTCAGAACTACGAGGCCTATGTTGATTGTATAATTCGAAACGCGACCAATACATAGTTTGCCAGAAAGATGCAGACGAGCTTTTATGAGCATTCCAATATGTTGTGGTTGGAGGCATTGGGTAATTTCCTTTTAAAGACACCGAAATATAATGTCTGCCTACAAGTACCACTGTAATGTTTCGGTGAGATTGAAACTCTTCAGGACCTCTCCAAAGAGGGAAGCAGGTTGTAGATTGTTCATGGCTTAGACAATGAACAATCACACCAAACTTGTTGGCAATCAAGTAACCAGTCAAAGGCATAATCATCCAATGTCGCAAATATGCAGGTGACTCGAACCAACACAAAGACTCGTATACCTCATTGAACCCATCAGTAAAAACTTGTTGGTATGCATAAAATTGACTTTCTAACTCTTCAAGCAATTGTTGCCTAATGTATAGCCATTGGTCTTCACTGTGCCCTAGACTAACAGCTACCGCTCGAAACCCACAGTTTCCATCACCGAGTACATCTTGTATCTTGTCGATGTAATCATGAAATACATCAGGAATACTCTTCATTAGGAATGGATCATGCATTCGTGGTTCTTCATTTAAGTCAATGGCGTACGAATAATTATGCCTTTCAGGTTCTTTATTTAAATCCAACCCAATGAACTCTGATGTGGTAGAGTCATTGCATCTAGGAGGAGCTTGATTTGGAGGGTTGACATTCTTTTTATGTTGTTTCTTCATACTCGGCCGTCCGCGGTCTTATTTTGAACTGTAGGTTCTCCAACATCAATTGTGCGCGGATCGTATATCTCTTTTAGTTTTTTCAAATAAAATTTTTTTCCTGCTTCTGTCTGCTTGTTGAAATTTTCTTTATACTTTTCAACTTCATCGTCGCAACAAATATTGCCTTTTTTTTCAGGCTTCGTATCAAAATACTAAGCTTTCTCCAAAAGATATCTATTAAATCCAAGGGTATTTCTTCACCTGTTTTAAAATACAAAATAAATATTTTTGTAATATTTAAAAATTTATATATGTTGTAATTGAACATACTAACCTGAGCTTAAGTAAACAGAAAGCATGCAAGCACATGGTAACCCACAACTGGTACGGAGTTTGCAACCACAATTTGAGGAGTCTAACTTTGACACATTTAACCTTTGGAGCTCTCCTACTATTATATCAAGAGCTTCGTTTGAAACAGAACCTCTTAGTAACCCGAAGCAGTACAAATTATGATGCTTATATCGGAAAATTAAGCTTTTCTCAAAGCTTTCACTGATTGAAGTGAGTTGTGATTGCACAATTTCATTAATTCGTTGCACAAATCTATCGAGATTAGAACTTGCAGAGTCCAAAAATCTCTTTAAATTGGCATGTGCACTCTCGACTCTATTGGTTGTGTTGTTTCCAAAATTAAGATGTTGATCAATCCAAACAGATACAAACATTTCTTTGTAGTTGTTCAACCAAGTATCTTCTATGTATTTCAAAACACCTGGATGTTGTGATTTAGAAGTATAGTTAACAAATACGTAAATAAATAATAATATGAAGGTTATGATTTAGAAATATCGCTAAAAAACAAGCTTACGTGGATATTTTATCAACATTGATTGAAGTCGCATGTAGTTTTTCGTGTAATCCATCAATGTTGGAGAATCAATTAGTAAGTTCCATAATGATCTAAAAGAGCGTCGATCATCTTCCAACGTGATACTTTTATTGCAATGCTTCAAAATGTTTTGTTCAATATGCCATCTACAAAGTAATCGGGCAGCATCCGGAAAAATTGTTTCACATGCCTTGATGAGTGCCAACTCTCTGTCTGTGATTATTACACGTGGGTGCATACATGTATCAAGCGTCGAATTTAGACAATTTAACACCCAAGTATAGTTGGCCTCCTTTTCCCTATGTATAAAGGCAAAGCCTACAGAGAATGTCTTTTGAGTTGATGTAACACCAACAATTTGCACCAACGGCTTGTTATATTTGTTGGTTTTATACGTGGCATCTATTATCAACACATGTGGAAATGCACGCCATATCTTCCAAGACGTTGGATGAACGAAGAATAAATTTTCTAACTCATTTGAATCGCCTGTAGTAAACTCATAAACATAATTATTGGTGTGTAAAAGGGACATAAGAACCTGCATTGGAGTTCTTCCTGCTTGCTCGTGCATCCGAATCTTTTGTTGTGCATTGTATATTGTTTTAATTGTTGACACATTGTTTTCGTTTTGAACCTTCAATGCTGACAGGATGTCACGTGGCGCCACGTTCTTTCTTGTTAAATTAGCCACCAAACGAGTCTCATCGACTGATAACCGTCTTGCAAATGGATGACCTTCCATATGTTGTGCCGGTGGATGATTATGTTCATCACATATTACCCTTAGCGTCCATTTATCATGTTCTTTTGAATACTTTCCTTCCAATTGAAATTGACAATTAGTCTTTTTGCTTCCAGATGCTCTACTTGTATACTCTTTAGGTTTATACTCTCTACCACGATCACATATAAGTATGACTGTATGCACAAAGCCGTTCCCATATGCCTTTGATCTTCTAGTAACAATAACATATCCTAAAGAACGTGCGGTGTTTTGTGTCCACTCTAATAATTCCTCACGAGACTTGAACTTCTGCAATCAAATTTCAATTGAGTTAGTATATATGTTGTATCTGAAAGCATCGTAATTGATATAATTATATAACCTGACTGGTGGAAAATGCCGAAGTTTTTGTAGAAAAATCTTTATCTCTAGCCGACAAGTTGATTCCTAAAAACTTAAACATCTCTAAAAAAAAAAAAAAACACATCAGATAAATAATTAAAATATTGAAAAAATATAAAAAATTAAAAGCAAATAAAAATAGATATTTTATAAAATTTTAATGCAGTTTATTAAAATAAATTTTATATAAAAAGATTTTTTTTTTTTTAAAAAAAAACCAATTTTTATTTTTAAAAAAGCCCAAATCTTTCATATAAATTAAAAAAAAAAAAAAAAAAGCCCAATTTTTGTTTTTAAAAAAGCCCAACATATAAATTAAAAAAAAAAAACCCCTAAAATACTAAATCTATTATATGGCCGCCAACAGCCAAATCTTTCATCCTAAAATACTAAATCTATTATAAGCCCAAGGAAGCATCGTCGGTGGCTCCATCGGCAGTGGACGGCAAAGGAATGGAGGTCGAAGGAATGACGACTTCTTTCCGGCAAAGAGAATGGCGGTCGAAGAACACCGGTCGACGGGAAGCCACTACCACCACCAAACGGTTTCTCTCTCCCTCTCTCTCACTTTCATTTTCCGTTCTCTCTCTCTCTCACACATTCATCTCCGACAAAGAGAATGACGACTGGAACACCGGTGGTCGGACCGGTGGCTACCTTCGACCGCAGAAGAGGAATGGAAGACGGCAGTGGTTGTCGATGCAGAAGAGGAAGGGAAGATAAATGGCTTTGTTTCCAGTGGGTTCGGTGGTGAGATGCGAGGCTAGTGGGCGGTCAAAGGAAGTGGCAGTGGACGGCGAAGGAATGGAGGTCGAAGGAATGATGGCTTCTCTCCGGCAAAGAGAATGGCGATCGAAGAACACCGGTCGACGGGAAGCCACTGGAGGCGTTAAAATGTATTTACATTAATTTTCATTTTACCTTTCGTTAATATGAGAAGCTGTTTTTGTTTGGTTTTTGTTTGTTTACAGAGTTTTGATTTTATATTAGATGTGATGTTGTTGGATTAGTTGAAAATTAATCAGGGAATTAAGAGTATACAGTTTTCAATGTTTGATATTTGTAGATATCAATGGTGTAAAAATGCTGAAAATATTAAATTTTCAAAGTCAAAGTTTAATTTCCCAGGTATTGAAAATTGACTAAACAACCATAATTATACCATAATTACAGGAGGTCTTATAAGTAAATCTGGGGTCCAATTAGTAGGACCCTTTTTTTAAATAAGCTAATCATTACCAAATAATTATTTTTTTTATTAATTATCATTGCATAATATTAAACCTTCATAATTATTTTATATTCTACTTTAAATAAAACTAATCATTACATAATAAAATAACTCAATATAAAGATTTGTTTATAGAAAAAAAATATTATTTTTATAAAAAAGTATTAAAATAACCATATATTTTTTTTTCAAATATATAAAATAAAATATTGTAAACAAAAAAATTTAATTTATTTTTGGTTTTTTAATGCAATTTATTAAAATCATTTTTATATGTAAGCATAATAATAAGTGACTTCAAATACGATATAATAATAATACTTAGTTTTCATTTAAATATTTAATATCATTTTATTTTTATTTTTTGGTTTATATAAATATTAAAATATATAGAAACCGTTGATATGTTTGTATTATTATTTGATTATAAAAAAGTAAAATATATAATAAATAAAAAGTTTATAGGAATTAAATGATAAGTACGAGTTTCAAAAAAAATTAACTTTTAGTAATCATAAAAGTTATTGATATTATAAATGTACGGAATTTTATGCTTAAAAAGTCATTAATGAGGGGTCCTCTAAGAAAATCTAAGGTCCAATTAGCAGGACCCTTTTCGAAAATATCAAGTTTAATCCTTAAGTTCAAAAAACCTTACGGATCGTCTCCGTGGTTTCAAAACTTGTAAAATTTGGTCATTCTACCTAACTCCGTCAGCTTTCTACCGTTAAGTGAGGGGTATTTTCGTCATTTCAACACTCAGGGACCATTTATGAAGTTTTCTATTTTTTTTTGGAAAAAAAAAGAAAAAATAAATAAATTTAAAGGGGTCTCTCTCTCTCTCTCTCTCTCCAACAACCCCACCCTTATTCCCTTCTTCCCCACTCCACTCCACCCCTTTCTCTTTCTCTCTTACATTCACAAGAAGAGCAACTCCAACCCAAAATAAAAAGGGAAAATTCAATCCTTGTTATCATATAACTTCACTTCCACTACATTCGTCCATAATTTATGATCATCATTATTGCATCATCGTAACCATATTTGTTTGAAGTTTGTTTCTCTGAATGATTCCACGATACAGTCGCTCCGACTATCACTGCATCATATAACACCCATCGAACCCGGCGATGACACCACCTCCTAAAACCCTAGCGCCGTCGATTTCGATTACATCTCCCAACCACTGTCAGCTGCTTGTTGTCATCATCAATTTGTGGACGCGATAATCACCGCCCTTCCCCCTTTGTTTGTGTCTTAGACTGGAAACCACAAGTGAATAGTGAGTAGTTGACCTACGTTCCAAATTACATTGTTGAAATCGTTGTCAATAATCGTGAGTAGAGACCGCAACTGCAACACTGGTGGTGGAGCACCATCACAGCCACATCAGAGAAGTAGAGCTAGAAGATTCAGGCCCATGTTTCTTATCTTTCCTATAAACCTCGTATTATGTTTTCTTCAAAATCTTGTTCTTATTGCAGAGAGGATGAAGGCTCTGTATGAACTCATCTCAAACGCCAACAAGATAAAGGAATTTGGCAGTTACCAGATCGAGATGTTGTTGGATAGATTGGGACGTTTTGAGGAAAATGAGAGATTAGTGGGTTCCTGTAATGGTACTCAATTTGATTCTACTCAAGAAAACCAAGATTCTACGAATTTTTTCTGGGTTTCGATGTTTATCTCATGGGATTTCGGGTTTGCAATTATGGATTGTCCGTGGTAGTGCTTCTTCACGGGTCGAGACCGGATTCTAAAGATGT